GACAACCGGACGTAACGCGATCGCTCAGCGCCCCTCTACAGCACAATTGCAGTCATTGTCTTCCGAGCAGTATCAAGGCTGGTTGGTGGCGACTAGGAGGAGTAATTATATGCGCGCGGAAGACCTGGTCTGTGACCATGGAAACCGCGGAGTCTGTATGGGCGTCTTCTGTACGCACAATACTGGTTAGCAAAATTTGAGAGCGACCGCCGTTGTCGTAGCCAACATAGCCTGGTCCAGTACCGGAAGGAAACTCGTAAATCAGCCGGAAGACGTCTCTGACATCTATGCGGTGTTTGTCCGAGAACTTTTTGTTGTCTGAGTGGTGGTTTGTGTCTTCAAGGATAGAACTGGTAACCTTTATCTGACCTCCTGACACTGCTCAGAGGACAATAACCACGATATTGATTCTCGCTCCTTTTCTTCTTACCCTAAATACCGCATGACTTTTCTTTTTGCAAAAGAAATATAAATGAGAAGGTTCAAAGAGAATTTATTGAAACCAGATGTATGCTCGCCGCCTTAACGTTTGAATCGTCCAGTGGAAATTTTTAAATACCTGTACCAAACTTGTGTCTTTATTATCTGCACTTTCCCACCAAACATGTAATAGGCAGTTAGAAATTGACAGCTGCGAGAACAGGTTTATTAAACTGTAGATTGCATTAGGCTTCGTCAAATCAGTGAGTAAACGGACGGTCAGGTCAATCAAGCACTTACGTAAATAATTTTCAAATTCAGAAAACAAAATTTACCGCTCTTTGTCCCTAAAATATACGGATGGGACTCTCCTTTGATGCAGAAAAGAGTGCTTCGAGGCCTTACCTGTGCACAAGGGGTTCGAACGTGGCGATTTTTGCAAGCAACACACTGACGAGTGAAATATCCAGCTCATGCAGACAGGTAGATCATATGGTAGATCTGTGCTAGGTTTGAGGATCATTGCCTTTTTGACTCTCATCATTTGTATGATGTTTTTTCGTTTTTGTTTTATCGAGTTTCTAGATGACGCTTTGATATTGATCTCTTGAGAACAATTCAGTTCCATATGCAGTCATTTCCCGTTATCAAGGCTATGCAGAGAAACGAAACAGCTGGTAAGCCTTTGCGAACCTTTTTGACAACCATGAGTAGTACTTAACTTCGGTTCCATTCTTTTCACAATAAATATGATCTGATATATAATGGCACTTTGACATGACGACCGTGAACTGCCAATAGATAGTTTTAGAGAAGAAGATGACTCGATCGCTGGGACAATACTTTTATTCGCCTGACGTTTCGAGGTCCTTCGCGGATTCGTCATCAGAGACATAGCCATAGAGCCCGTTTCTGTTACTGCTCTACGACTATGTCTCTGACGACGAATCCGCGACGCATCTCGAAACGGCAGGTGAATAAAAGTATTGTCCCAGCAATCGAGTCGTCTTCGTCTCAATTACATTCGCTTGTATTGGCAAAGAGTTTTACTTGATCCTGCTGGCATGTGTTTAGGTTCCTGAGCCAAAGTTGCAGAAGAGAAAACTGAAAACAAATAATCTGAGTGGCTGTCGGGGACCGGCCTGCACTCAAAATCTCAAAGATCCCTTATAAAAATGAGTTGACATGAACCTATAGGTCTTTGCACAGCCTTACTTTTGGGAAGTACCTTACCCACCTGAATTTACCTGAATTTTTGTTTTAAATGAACGAATAAACACGCAACTGTCAATTTCGACTTTGAACGAGGTGACAATTGAGATTACTGTGTCTTGCTGCCGCATTTTCCCTGAATGACGTCGTCCATCGCGAGCATTCCTTTCACTTCCTTTATCCTACACACTCTTCTCACAATTGCGGTATTGCTGGACGTCTTGAAGAAGTTTTTGCAAGACTGTCTACGCCTGTTGTCAGAGCCTCTATCGTCTTTTCTTTCATTTTTGTTTTCCAATTTTTTGGACTTTTTTCTTCTTCACTGTTATCAATGGTTTAGTCACAACTTTTCCTAGTTAAGCATTACAGTTTTCTCGTACCTAATGCTAGACTTGTAGTGTTTACCCGTAAGTTTCACGGCAAACCGCAACCATAGTTCTGAACGTAATCTTGGCTCAAACTCGCACTTATTTCTTAACAAAATCCCCCTGAAATTCGGCGCAAAGTAACATGTGTTGTAGACGGTTCCTTTTTTTTCTGTTTGGGTGGCCATACAAGTTATTTTTACTAATTCTAGTTCTAGATATTGTAGCAGTATCATAATGGAGGATAGGAGAGCGATCCCAAACGCCAATTGACGGTAATTCATGAATCGAAATGCGTTGTTTATCAATTAAGCACATTCGTGGGCTTCCTTGACTCACTATTATCAATACGAGAAAAAATCGATCAACCCAATGTCGCATACTGCGGAAAGTTCAATTTTTGTTCAAACCCTCGTTCATTTGATTGTCTAGTCTGTTTGCACTAGTTACTGTCATAGCAATTTAGTTGCAGTTTGATAGCAGAAAACACCACATAAGATAGCGGAATCCGAAAGCTTTGTTAACCTTGTCCTGCAAAAATGTAAACACCATTAGTACTTAGCTCACCCGAGAGGCCAGGAATCTTTTGTGCAGTATAATCCAGCTGAAGATGTAGAGGTAGCAGGGTGAGGTGCAAATAAGCACAACACAATCGATAAGAGGGAGCTCTTCAAGACTGCGAATCAGGGCGTAGACATATGCCAACCAGAGGCAGGAAAGGAGGAATGTTCGGCTGAGAGCCAATCGCCAGTCGCGTCTGTCTTGAGACAGAACGAAGAGGAAGTCACTACAGGCGAGAAGGAGAAGAAGAAGAAGGAAAAAATGTTTGCGTTCTTTGATCTTCTACGTTGTTAAGCAAATTAGGGGGAAGGTAGGCTTAATAACTTTACCATTTCCAATAGGGCCAAAGATATAGTGACCAGGTGCTTTTGCACTTGTTTCAGCGGGTTCTCGGTGAAAAAATTCACAAAGAGTCAACTTGGTCTACAGTGTAGACCATTTAAAGACTAATGAGAGGCGAAGAAAGGCCAACATTTGTCGATAAGGATTCCTTATAAACAACATCACAATGATAAAAAAACAGGTCTGCGTAATACGAGAACGGTAGTAATATGAGTTTTATGGGTGAGGCCTATCGGGGGAAAGGATAATAAGTACAAAATCTAAAAAAAACAAATCAAAATAAAGGTGAACTAACTAAACTGAAACTAAATTAAACTACGCTAAAAAAATAAAGCTAAATAAAAGAGTGATAACTAAAATACACTAAATAATAAAGCAAAAAACTGTAATAAGTGAATTATGTATAGTATACTACATGCTGTCTATAAGGAATCCTGACCGACTTGTTCGATAGCTATTAAAATTCTCTTTCATACAGAGCACTTAGTATTTTTGTTGAATAATATGTCGAATTTTTATCCCTCAACCTTTGCACACCAATCGACATTCACGTCTGTCTTGAGACAGAAAGACCAGAAAGCCACTACAGACCAAGGAGAAGAAGAAGAAGAAGGAAAGACTGAGTTCCTTGATGGCTTCAGGTGACTCTACCTTGGATGAGGAAGAAGGCAGGTCGAGCACCAGATCAATTGATTTATTGTT